ATCTTTTATCCAACATATGAAGTTAAATTGTTTATTTTTTAAAAAATCTTATTTAAAAAATATTACAAGATTAATTATTTCATTTACTACGACTTGAAACTCAAAAATTTCTACTAAAATCAGCATTTAATTTCCAATAATTTACAAAAAAAAGAAACAAATAATTAAGTGGAAATAGTTTGAAAAAATCTTTAAATTTGAACGAAATTGAATTAATTACAACAATGTCTGTTATAAATAAATAAATAAACAAATAAGTAAATAAATAGGTAAATAAATGAAAAAATAAATAAGTAAATGAACAACTAAATAGATTAATTAATTAATTGATAAACAAACAAATTAAATGAAAAAATAAATAAATATGCATCTAATATCGATATACACTTTATCGCAAGTATTGAGTGACATTAATTAATTGATTACTTAATTAATTCATTCATACTAAATGATAATTGTTAGATTTATTTTCTTGCTTGCTTACCTAAACAATTTCAATTATCATCCGGAGGGGAAAAGTTTACGAAAGAGCTTAAATTAATATAAACAACATAATTTACAATTCTTCCAGTTCTTGTTAAAACGACTAATTTATATGTGTAATTAGCTTATTTCGCAATCTTTACTTTTCTTCTCTATTTAACTCCAAAAAAAAGGAAAAATTGAATTACTGTAAAACAAATTACAACACACTGATTTATACTATAAAATAAATCATATAATTTTAAAATTATTCTTGCCAGCAAACAATAATTGAAATAGAATGTTACAGTGGAAAATGGAAAAGAATTAAATAATAAATCTAATAAATAATATTACTGTAAATATAATTATCGATGAAAGTAAGAATATCCATGTCACCACTTGTAGTGCAACATATTGAATTAACGAGTAAACATCACGTAACTTCCACATTTCATACCGTCCACTTCTTCATTGGCTATTATGTCGCATTTATGGCTCAATCAGCTCTAATGAGTTGTTCAGTACTTTATTTCTTGCCAAGTTATATTCTGGCAAGATGTTTAGATAAGCTTACAAATGATATGTATCGTGCTGGAGTTATGATTGATAGCGAGTAAGTCTTCTTTCTCTTTTCAAAGTATATATTTTTTAACTTTAATGAGTTTTAAACAATTGATTCAAATATGACAATAATGAGTATATCATCACAAATATCATTTTTTAGCCAGATTTAACTTCTTAAACCATTAAAATCATTAATAATTGTATGTTAAATTTTCATCAACACAATAGTGGAATGTAAAACGAATTCAAAATTGAAATTAAAATATTAGATGAATTTGATGACTTACGCTGTTTGCTTTCAATGAATATTTATTATTTTTAGTATAAATTTTAATTCATTTTACAAGGAGGAAAACTCTGATATGTAGAAGGAACAGTAAAGTAATAGTACAATACTAATTTTTATCAAGAATTATTAACGCGGATGATTATCAGGAACAACAAAATTTGGATATGATGAAATTGAATAAGATGAAATAGAAAAAGAACCGATATGATGAAAAGTTGAAAATTCAATGAAACTAAACTTTCATCCATTCAACGCAGTTCATTGATAAAAATTATGATTATGAAATGACTAATAAAGACATTTCACAGGATGACATCTGAAAATGCTCTAAATAAGCTGGAATCATTCCAGAAACGATATCAGGTTATCACTATTAAAAGTGCTATTAACAAGATGTCTTGTGATGGTTGTAGTGATGATGGTAGTGATCATATGATAGTAAACATAGCAAATCATAATTAAAAGAACCTTAGTCAAGATATAAGATCTGAAAATAGTGTTTTGAGGATCGGATGACAAATGAATCATGCAGAAGAATGTTTGTGACAAAACTTCTTACCTGTTAGCTAGAAAAGTGTGATGCTTTTTCATTTCTTGATATGAATGGAAATATTGAACTTTTCCTTCTTTCTGCTTCTGAGCTTCCAAAAAAAAAAGAAAAGAAAATTATCTTCTGTTCCAAAATTTGACACTTCCTAATGTGTCGTTTGTCTTTGTGGTTCATTCGTATTTGTCCAGTCATTTCAATTTCAAATTCAATTTCCATCATCTAATTGTTTACTAATAGTTTGCAGACTCTTAAAAAGGCAGCAAATGTTATTGAATTTAATTTCAAATATATCGCCTTCTATGTGCAAACAATTTGTTTGATTGAACTATCCTGTCTACTTTATGCATACTTGCAAATTTTGAATTGGAATTGGTTTAATACAATATTATTCCTCGTTTTCGTCAGTCAGATCACTTCATTCATATTATCCTTTATAGTACCTGCTTATCTCAACCATGAAAAGGTTTTCTTTCCTTCTAATCTCAGTTAATTTCTGACCTACTTAAATTAACTATACAGCAGTATATTGAGATTTGCTGATAGATTTGAGAATATTTGTTTTTTATAACCTTACGCTATCAATTTATTAGTGAAACAATTTTAAATTGATTTTAACATGAATAAGATGATAGTATTTTACATGATCTTTAATCCTCGAAAAACTTTATACAGTTACAGTCTATTGAGTGAGGAAGACATTTTATCAATTATGTTTTCAGATTAATTAATTAATATGATTGCAGTATTGCAAAAGAAAGTCATAAGGAGAATATCCTAAAATAATTAATCTTTAAAAAAAAAAAAAAATACCTTGAATGACTATAATCGATATTATCATCTTCTGATGTATGGTTCAAAAAGTTAAATATAATTCTATTACTTTCAAATAGACTAAGAAAGGATTTAACAAGTGTTCTATTTACATTTGTCATGGCAGGCATAAGTATATGGTAAATGTAAATAATACTTCTAACCAATATGTTCACTAATTTTTTATCATTCATATAAAATTTTTCTTTTTTGACTAATTTGTTAATTTTGATCAAATCAGCATTTTATAGAATAAAAAGATCTCAGAAATATGTCCGGAAATGTTCGAAAAACTAATGCAAAAGGATTCGAATACCGTGCTAGCGGTCAGTTTGTTAGAATTCAATGGTCAATGGTCGTTTTCTTTATTTATGAATTAAGAAGAGAAGGAATAGAGTTTGAAAGAAACTAAAAAAAGTTTCTGAAGATTCACTTTTCATCTCTTCCACATTTTGGTAAATGTTACTAATAGAATAGCTTAAAAGATTTAACTTCACAATCTCATGATCTCACTGCACGTGATTTCTTTTAAATTAGGATTACAAAACCACTAAATACAGTGCAGAGTCGGCTATCGGCTAACCTAGTTTAAGGTCATAGCAGACTTCAAACTTTTAGCCTCTCATTCCTCTATTATGGATATTATTTAGCTCATCCAACTTCTTGTCCATATTTATAGACAAAAGTGTTAATGTTCATGTATCAACTTGAAACAATGCCGATCACTTTTACTTCTGGTGGATTCTTCGTTGTCAAACGTTCCCTTCTTCCTACAGTGAGTAACTTCTTGCTTTTTTTTCCACATTTTCTTTCTTTTATTAATTTATTTAAACATACTATACAAAATTGAGAAAGTTTTTAATCCAACTTTGGACCCTTGAGCATAATTGTACTTAATTCAACAAATATTCTGTTGTAAGCTGGTTTCGTTCATGCTGACATATGTTTTTCTTATGATCCAACTCGGACAAACGCCAAGATGTTTGGTGGACAACAATATGCCTCTGGAAACTCTTTGAAACAACTTCCGAACAGATTACTTCAAATGTTCCACTCATCATTTCCTTCATAACTTGAAGCTGGCAAAATGCCGAAAGTAAAAGTGATACGTGATGTGTGCAAAGATGACAACGGTATAAAATGCTTTAAGCTTTTTCCTTGCAATACATGAGAGATTCGGCTAACGGTACAGTCAGCAAGAGATTGGACCCATGAATCACGATTTAATAAATCGATTATACTCTTCAAAACAGTCTCGCATAATTGCTTGCCTTATCACCCTACAAAATGCTTGCTTCTGTTCATTGCTGTTAGTACAAGGATGAATTGTTAACATCACCAATAAATCAATTAAAAAAAAATCCCTCCTCCAGACGAAGACCGAACGAAGTCCCGAACTCTGTTTTAACTGAAAAGAAGTCATATGAAGCAATCCTTTACCTTTACAACAAACGTCCTAATGATTAGAAACTAATCCCTGGAAACTAGTTCGTGTTGACAATTCCCGAAATACATTGAACCGATGATGGGCATGTGGGTGTCTCTTCTTTGTTACTTACTTTACACAAGTACTGGAAATACGAGCTGGTAAAAGGAATTGAATTTTTTGCATTTTTTCTCGAAAATTTGTGTAACTCTGAAATGCACAGAAAATGCTATCCACCATCGGCATACGTAATCAGGAGAAATATTGCAAAGTTACAATGAGACGAAGGAAGCATTACATTGTTTATTTAACTGCTTTATAAAAAACAGAGTACAGAAACGTATAAAACTTCAAATTTTTTTTAAAGATTGACTTTTTACATTTTGTTACAGAAAAAGGAAAAAGGTGAGTGGGCTGCGTTGACATTTAATGAACAGTTTAAAAAATTCTACACTTGGAAAAGTTACACTTTCCTCTAAAAGCAAAATTTTATAAAGCATTAGTTTAAAAAAGGAGTAAGGGACTGCTCTTATCATTTAAAAAAAAAAAAAAAAATCACGTTTCGAGAGAGAAGTTCAGATTATGGCTTCATCCTGCAATTTGAAAAACGATTCATTTACAGTCACGTAATTAGGAATTAGGACAATTTGGTGGAAAAACTATGAAGTTGTGGAAGGTAAACTGGAAACTAGGGAAACAATTACGCAAATGGCGAGATTTGTATTTGATGTAAGCAAATATGCTTTAAACGAAAGAAAAAAAAACTTTGCCTTATATTTAAGTCTAAATGCAAACTCCGCTCATTCAAAACCATCAGCAATTACAACCACTAGTTGGTTGTGTTGTTTCCCGGTGATCCAAACGAATCTGATCCGGAAATTCTGGAAAATCCTGCACATCTTGCGCTTCGCGCTTTAAAGCATCACGAGCAATTTCAATAAATGCTTGCTCTACGTTCACAGCTTCCTTAGCCGATACCTGGAACAAATAGGTAAAAGAAGTGTTCCTAAACAGGTGGGGTTCGATAATGCTATATTGACATTCCACATCCTGGCTACACATAGGTAGGCAGAATGAGATGCTGCTACCTAATAATTTTTAGGACCTATTTTAGTAACCATCCCAAAATTCAAAAAAAAAAGTGTAAAATAATCAGGACCAAGGAAAAATAGCATCTACCAGCAGATAAAGATCTGCCTCGAACATCTGACAGAAAAGAATACTTCACCCTTAATTTTTATTAAGTTATATGAAAGGAATCTCGAATCCTTATTATGCAAAAAGCACTGAATGCTTAACCTCATAATATTTGATATTGTTTTTTGTCTGGCACCATGCTTGGGCTCTTTTGGCACTAACGGCACGTTTCGCTTCTAGATCAATTTTATTACCCAATAATACGAATGGAAAATGTTCTGGATCGCGTGGACTGAAAATCAAATAATATTAATTATTAGAACTCATTTGTGATCATCGAATCTATAAAATCTAATTATTCTAGATCAGTGGTACAACTAAGAACTGCGCACATGCAATATATTCTTATTAATTTTGTAGGAAACACATTTCTTAAGATGTACCTAAGGCAGATGCATCTAACTCCTTAGATACAGCTGAAAATCAGTGTATAGAATTACATTACTGGAAATACATTAAGAACAAGCCTTGCTTGAATTAAAAATTCGTCTCTCCATGATTCAAGGCTTCTAAAAGAACTGGCATTAGTGATATCATAAGTAAGCACACAACAATCCGCTCCTCTGTAAAAAGCAACACCCAACGATTGAAAACGTTCTTGTCCAGCTGTGTCCCAAATCTGTAAAAAAACAGCAACTTGTATAACAATCCTAATTGAGATTTATTTACTGATTTTCAAATTTGTAAAGTTATTTATGACGTAAGCACAAATAATGGAAATAATGAAAATAATCTTATAAGGGAAAGGTTTATGAGTAACGTCATGTTATATGCATGAAAGAGGATTCTTCAAAACATATTAACGTACCTAGACTAAATAAAACTCTTCCTCAGCTTGAACATTTCTAGACTACCTAGTCAATTATAAAAGAAGGATAGAAGTGTAAAGATACACAGGAACAGAATAATCAGTTCTGTTCGAACTCCAATTAAGACAGACAGCAGAAAAGCGTACAATTCTAAATTAAATTGCAATGGTGCAAATGGTGTATAATAGAAATGTGCTTGAAGCATTTTAAAACAGCTAAATGACTTTCCATCAATTTGTCAACCGCACCTTCAGAAAATGAATGGGAAGTGCTGTAAATATCTGTTAAACCATGCTTGCCTTTACAGTCATGCTGGAGAAATTTAGATTTTAGATAAAACCTCAAAGAATAAGTAAAACGTAAAAAAATAGGTAAAACGCCGACCCACCTGCATAGTAACAGTTCGATCACCAACTGATATATCTTTTGTCAGGAAATCAGCACCAATCGTTGCTTTATACTGATTACTGAATTTCTTGTTTACATATTGGTTCATTAGTGATGTCTTGCCAACACCCGAATCACCTAGTATAATTACTTTAAGAAGAGCTTTTTTGCGACCACCGCCGGGTGCTGACATTGTGGTGAATTCTCGTGAACAAACTGAAATATCTGTGAGGTATTAAAGAATTGTAATCTAATCTTTTAAACGACAAGACGCACTGAAAGTGAAGTTCATGGAATGTTTAGCGAACCTTGCCATAAAGCTCCAAATAAACATCAAAAATTAATGAGCTCCAAAAATCATAGTTTCCTTCTGCATTACTTAACGTTGAAGATTTCGTTGAAGGTTTCAAATTACAAAGAAATCAAAAATTCATTTCTGATGCAATATTTCCAAGCAAATGCAAAACAGCAATTTCCTAATGTGAAAAAAAAAGTGAAAACTGAGTTATCTGAAAAGAGAACCGAACGATAGCGATATGCATGTTGACTTAAGATTCTACTGAACCCATACGAATTCAGTTACAAGAATAAGCGTGTAAACTTAAACTTTACTGTTCCAGTAATTGGCGGATATGAGTTACTGGGTATTATCATTCCATCCTTATTTCTTTATAACATATTTTCTCCAGCTGTAAAAGGGAGCAGGTTATATAACATAGTATTAGTTTCCATGCATACATGATCCTTAATTTCCAAAAATGTATATGGATATATTCCATTCCTAAGCAGCCAGTATCGCAGTATGCATTGCGCTTGTTGCGCAGTTTCTATTTTGCTCACGAATAGCTTCAACGCTTAAAAACCTGAAATGAATCAGAAATGTCAATAGTCAAATAAACAACCATAAATCACTAACATCATTTGTTAAATTTATATCGGCTGAAAGCAATGAAGGCTACCTTAATCTCTCTCATTCCCAACAAACAAAAAAAGTAATAGGAAACCATTTTGCCCTCATAAATATAGCCCAAAGCAAGGTCGTATTCGCAGACATATTTGACAACAGGCACGTATCAAAAATAATATCAACACATATTTGCGAGAACTCCGTAAAACTTCCAGTGAACAAAGCATTCCTGAAATTTATTCTTAACAAAATTACTGGAGTTTTTGCGAAAGTCTCTCGTACAAACTAGATGATAAATAACATCTGTTGAATGGATGCTTTCGATGACAATGTAGAAAGTATCCACACTATACACTGAAAAAAGCTTGACCGACAAAAGATCAATCACATCTTATAATACTTGAGTGACAAATTTTACTTGAAGAGATGAAATTTAGTTCACATTCAATATAGTGAACAGACAAAGCCAAGTGCATTGTCTTACACATCAAAACTATATGTGCTCAACGTAGTTAGAAAGTTTCAAAATACTAATTTTATGAATTTTATTGGTTAAATTTCCCCCTTACAGCTGAAGCCACTTTAAAGGACTTGACCGAAATAATCAGCAAAGAAGAAACAGGAAATACCGGCTTAATCCAGCAATTACATGCGCGTTACTGGCATCTAAGAATTCCCACCCAGAAAAGTTTAATACGACAATAGTAGTCTTTTGCAATACTGCCAAGTTGAACTTGCCATTGGGAAAAGTGACTGTAAGACGACTGGACAATACTGGTCCTTTTCATAACAAACAGTTCCGCCAAAATTGAGAAAGAATATATGCGAATTCTATGCCATGCTAATCCACCGAGGGAATTTAGATATATTCAAAATTGTTTTTTTCATGTGAAAAAATGAAGCTTAGTTATTTGATTTCTTAATATTCCATATAAAAGGTAAAGTAGGAAAATCAGAAATTGCATGCCAATATAACAACAAATAAAAGATGTGAGAACATTGCGAATCTTTATAAACAAATAGCGAAAAAAGAGATAGCATAAAACAAGACCCCTCTGCTTATTATAAACGGGAATATGACAATGTATGAATCAGAAGCAACGCGTATGGAAAGAGCAACAGCTAAGTGCACAAATGGAGGGATGAAGATAGTGCAGGAGATATAACGACTTAATGCTATCTGATAGATTTTTGCAATAAGAAAGTTCTTGTTTAAACAGTTTGTTTTAGGTAATCGAAATGAAAAAGTATGAGAGGAGATCAAAGTTCTAAATGCACTGATTTTCTGAATAAACTGATTGGCAAATGTCCAGGGAAGAATGGAGCGGGATTCAAGTCACTTCACATGCGTATGAACTAAAGCAAATAACACTACAAATGGCAACTGGCTCACATGATCTTTGACATCTACAATAATCTCT